AGTTTCATCTGCCATAAGACCAAAATATCCTGCCTCGCGGATTTTTACAAGAATCCCACGCAGAACTTCTTGGCCCATTAGAGAAATGATTTCATTTACAATTTGAGGAGACTGATAACGCTTTAACTCCAGCCACTTTGAAATTTCTGGGACATCTTCAGCCCTAGTTTTCAACATTTGATATAGGTTTCCGTCTTTATCTTTATGTCCTAAAATTATATTTAAATAACCTATAAAACATGCCAAGTGTATTGGTTGTGTGGACAACCAAATCAAATAATCAATAACAGCCTTCTTGTCTCTTACCTCGTAAAGGCATTCCTTGTCTGAGAAGGTATTTAATGGAAGATATCTCTTTTTTCAACAATGTGCGGTGCAATGCTTGAGAATTTTCAAGTTCAGTTGCTAACTTACTAGCAACTGAAGGTTGATGCATTAGGATAATTTTCTCCATGCTTTCCTTATGACATTGGCTACTCTCATGTTCTTTAAACCGCTGAAGAGCTTTCTTCCAATTACCAAAACCATCCAGAGTGAAGGCTTTTTCTTGTTTTGAACTGAATGTCAACAATCCTTTTTGCTTAGCTTTTCGCCAGTAGTGGCAAAAGACTAAATAGCTTGTGCCACATAATGTGATCCAAGAATAATTATTATACCAAACAACTTGAAATGTCCTAACCCGAAAATTTTTTCCAACACCAGAAGCTTGAGATGTTTTTTCCAGGATAGTTTTAGAACGTGGTTGAAAACGTTCGCTTGAGTCTTCAGCACAACATATATTTTTGCATTTAGCACTACCCTGGAAAATGAATTTCGTATGTGCATGATTAGCTGACATTAAGTTTGAAACCTAGCAGTAATACGTGAAATCCAGTACAATATAAGTTATGTTTGAAATACTTAACCTGTATATACAGTCTTTATAGTACTGATAAACTTTATATATAGATTATAGTCTTTATATAGAAATTATAATTATACCTGATGATCATTAATATTTTTATCCAAGACTGTTATTGGTTGGTGTTCTTCACCAAAACTTTCGTCTGCAGTATAAGTATAAAGTAAAATATATAACTTAGATATTTTAACATATTCTTCACTTTAGGATTTGGTGATTTACTGGCTTATAAAACAGAATAGGCAATATGTTGAGTCGCTAAAGTCATAAATATACTATACTACCCGTATACTATAAATTAAAAACGTAAAAGCACCTACCTTGGTTTGCCGAATCGCTAAGGTCTCTACGTTCGGTTTCTTCATCAGAAGACGCGGAAAGAGATGGGTTATCATCCTTGTGTTGACTTTCTAATTCTTTGCATTTAAAAAACTCTTTAATAGAACGAGAACGGCCAGCACTCATGTTTTATTCATATTTTGCTTCCGATTGCGCTAAATGATAACACTTAGCGAAGCAATTGCCGCTGCCTAAGTACCTAACACATCAAAACTCCGTGATAAAACAAATAAGCGCTCAAAAATTAAATCGCAATGAAAGAAAAATTTTATCCATGTAAATTTTGATCACAGATACGTGTATTACTAAAATGTATACACAATTGTGTATTATTAGAATATTGTGTATTATTAGAATATTGTGTATTATTAGAATATTGTGTATTATTAGAATATTGTGTATTATTAGAATTCTAAATACTTTCAGTTTCGAATTTCACTGCATTTATTGCAAATTGAGTAAATTCAATGATTTCTTGGGCGAAAGCTATCTCGGCCCCCCCTTACTAAAGGGCAAGGGGCGCGATGCCCCACCCCCCTGCGCCCCCCTTTCCGGCGTCCCTGCTTGCCGGTGCAATTTTGTTGCTTCAAAACCTGTTCTCAGTGGTGTCGCATTGCAGTTGACCGTAGACAGTCGGACTCCTCATTGATAGTCGGACGCATCATTGAACCGCGTCCAGGCCTCTGCGCGCTATCGATGGATCACTGCATACCCTGCGTAACCCACTGGTGCACCATATATCCATCACTTCACGTTGTTCGTCTTCGACCACGTGGAGAAAGATGGACGATTTGCTTCGCGATGCCATAGTGAATCTACAAACTTGATATTTGCTGTGTTGGTGTAATGTACTCAGATGAATAAGCTGCTTGTGATGTTACTCTGAGTGTATATCCACACCGGGCAGGCTTGAAAAACCTGCCTTGTGTGGATATACACTTAGAGTAAGAGCACATGAAGCATCTTATTCACCTGAGTACATTACACCAACACAGCAAATATCATGATTACTAGATTACATTGATATCGAAGGAACTAGACTCAGTTCCGGAAATATCACATACTCGAACCGACCTGACCGCGTAGCTCAGTTGGCAGAGCATCATGGGCTAGCTAGTGTTCTAAAGGTCGTAGGTTCGATTCCCACCGTGCCCAGGCATATTTTCAACCCTGCCCGGTGTGGATATCATACCTAATTTTAAGCATTTTGTATCACTGCACATTTTTGTGCAAAGTTTAGCGGAGCAGAAGCATGCACGCACTGAAAATTTCTGAACACACCCTTAATTATAATAATGTGGAAACGCAAAACAGGCTACAATTGATATTTGAACCAAGATACAGTGCATAGCACCCAGGGCAAATTAAATTAAGGGGTTAAGTCAAAATTTGACTAGGGGCATCACATAATTCCATCTTCGAACTCTAACACCATGATTAGTGGGTCTTGGAGAATCCTCCCCAGGAAGTTTTTGAAATCTGAGGTCCTCAAAATGGGCAAATCCTGCATTCTGGAAATTTAGTTGACCGTTATATCTATGTATATTTCACTGTAATTTTTGTGTTTGCGGCCTCCTCTAACTGGGACTCCAGGCAAAATTCCTCCCTCCACACCTCTGGGCGGCCTTACAAGCACCTGTAGTTACGACTATCTATGACACCATAGTTTCATTATCACATGCTTGCAGAACAGAAATATTTTCGTCTTGGCAAAGAAAAGGTGGCTTTAACAGGCGTGACAACTACCTCTTGAGGAGATCCAGGAGCATACACTCACAGAATGTTTGTGTGATGTTACTTTGAGTGTATATCCACACCGGGCAGGCTTGCAAAATATGCCTGGCCACGGCGCGATTCGAACCTACAACCTTTGGAATACTAGCCCATTTTTCAAGCCTGACCGGTGTGCGGGATATACACTCAGAGTAACATCACACAAACATCTTATTCACCTGAGTACATTACACCAACACAGCAGATTTCACTCACAGAATATTTTGTAATCTATGTCTCTCTCCCATCAGTGCTCTCTCCTCCGCAGAGCCTCCTTAAGTATTTACAAATAACTTACATGAAGTTTCCTGAATAAAAGTGAGCGCGCGCGGTGTGATGGCAAGATTCCTTGCGCGCTCACTTTTCCCTCACTAGAAACTTCATGTAAGCCTCTGCGGAGGAGAGAGGGTCGCGACAGTTGTTTGCAATAATATTATGCCGCTTCTCTCTGACTCTCTGAAATTGGCTTCCTTTGCGGGAAGCCATAAAATTGAAGTCCAAACAAGAACATGATTTAGCCGTCCTTTTGGGCCCATTGCTCACTTATTTATCATGATCGAAATTGCTTCACTAGAACATTTTTAATAATGTCTATGGAAAACTTTGTAATTTTCTGAACTAAAAGTTTATGGTTTTGAGGTGTTTATTTTATAAGATAGCAGGCGCTACAAAATGGCACTAATTGATTTCTCACGTCTGACAAACAACCAAAAATGAAAGTCCTTATTTCACCCTTTTATAGCTATGTTGAATACCTGAATATTAGGTTATCTTTTTCATTTGAGCATACAGATAACATTTCTGCACAATTAGTCCTTATGAAGGCTTATTTCAAACTAAAAAAGCGATCGTTTTTAGAGCCAGACTTCAAAAGAGAACGCGTGTCTGACATTTTATAGCAGCCTACATTGGCGCACAAAATAATTTTGGCTAAAAACCGTTGCTTTTCCAACAAAAACATGAGAAAATTGAGCTAAAAGTCTTAACTTAATATGTATGTTTAAAATGGTTTTCTTTTTATGGTGTTTTTCAGTGCTTTGAGTAGAGAGGTTAATAATAGCTTTTGTTTTTGTCACCACAATTTGCCTTTGAAAATCTCGGCTGTCATTGTCTGTGTTAAAAACACCTCAGAAAATTCCTATTTTCTCACCTTCCCATCCTTGGTTTATATTGAAAATAAATAGATTCTACTTCTAGTACCATATGTCCTTTTAAATATATAAATATATTCGAAGTAATTAAAACTTGAAAGATGTACAAGCACTGTGTTAATTTTGGCTTGCACACTTTGTTGAATTTGAACACTGTCTTTAATAGTTACTGCTCTAAATTTCATGTTGTAAACATCTTGCCCAAAAAAAAGCAAAGGAGTATGTTTTATAATTCTTGATTATTTTCTAATTCATATCCCAATAGATGAAAATTGGTTATAATATAGATAGATATGTACTAATTTAGTAAATAATTTTTTTTTGGTTTTTATATAAATTTATGGAGATATTGCCTCTTTTAATAGTTTAAGTGATGAGTGACATGAAAAACAAAGTGTCACTGCTTTACAAATAAAAATTCTCATTAAAAAAACTAATGATATATATAGGTATGCAAATTCATTTAAACTAAATTTAGTCAATCATATATCAATAATATTTGGTTCAAAAGACCAGTTTTTTTCATGTAACTGTTTCTGAGATATTGCCATTTTGGTGAAAGCTCTTGAATTCAATGACGTATTCGCCATATTGTTTGCGCGTTGGGAGGTAGAAACATTGTAACAGGTTGCGGCTTAATTAATGAATTAAATTATTTAATTCACAATAAACATTTTAGTAAATTTTTTAATTTACAATAAACACTTAATTAAAACTTTTACAAACACTTCAAAAAGCGTACCGACCTCTCTACATACGTAAAAACAACGTTCCCCTAACTAAAAAACAGTTTCTTTCACTACAACTGAATGCCTTAACAAACGCATCCATAGTCACTAAAAGTTCTCCTCGCTGACTGAACGCTTCTCCCTTGCTCTTCGATTCTGGAACCAAATGCGGACTCTACGTTCTGACAAATTCAACTGTGAAGCCATCCGTAATCTATCTCCCAGCGTCGGATACTTTACACCACTGTTAAACGTTCGCTCCAAAACATCAACCTCGTATTCCGAAAACTTGTGTCGCGTACGTTTTCTAGGCGCCATTCCTAAACAACAAAACACAAAACATTAATATCAAATGTCATCGCTGATATTTTCGCACGCCGTACATACATACCAGGCCATACGGAAAGCGGTGAAACCCCAGTCAATGAAGGGGACACGGGAGCCTGAACCATAAACTGCTGAGGTACAAACCAACTCCAAGGCAACACATACGGTGAAACCACAGGTAACGGCATCGGTACATTATGCTCACTCATAGTTTGCTGTTCGTACTGAAACTCTCCCCCATTTACATCCCTTGCCCTATTTACATCCTCTTCCTCACTCATACCCGTCCGACTCATATTTACTAATATTCTGGCAGCAACCGAATTCTCCATTTTAAAACCCCTTCTTTCCAGACAAGTATTAATCACTCAATGGCTTCCGTGCGGTAAAACTGTAACATTTTTTACCGCCTTATACCGTTCCAAAATAACAACTTTGCTAATTATTATTCATTAATAAAATACCTTAACGGCCAAACACTCGTCTAAGGGGCCAATTTATACATGGAGGTTTTCAGCCCGGGATGAAATTTCAGCCCGGCAAACCGGGATGAAATTTCAGCCTAGGGCCCCTATAAAATCAATATAAAATGAATTTTACGATTGCATGGAAACAATTTCAACCCGGGCTGAATTTCAGCTCGGGTTGAGATTTTCATCCCGGTTTATGTCACCTGGGATGAGATTTTCAGTTCTGTCAAGCGGGATTTTCATTATAAATTCTAAGCAAATTGTAAATTTCGACATACTAAAACGCTTTTTTCTGATCATCAGCATAATATTCTGTCAAAACTTCCCCAAAGTCCAGGAAATGGCATTTCAGAGACTCGAAATTTAAAAATTTCCTCGGGCCTCCAGCCCTCGTTTTCTGCTCCCAATAAACAAAAGCTCCATATATACCGCACTGTTTCTGTAATATGTCTGTGCGTAAAATATGCATATTTTAGTTTGTAAATTGCGTCTTCATTTTCCGAATAGCAAACACCTTCGTGGCTTAGTATGCCATGATATATTCGGAAATTTTTTTCGTCATTCGGAAATTTTTGGCCTACACTCCCCCCCCCCCCCCCCCCCCC